ACAGATTTGCTCAGCCTTGTGGGTGATGTATTGTTTACAGTTTACCCATTTCCTGCAAAAGAAATTTTGCAAGGCCTCTCGTCATTCTAATGCTATTTCCATGACAGATGTGACGCTGAAGTATATTCCTTGTCCTACCTGTTCAGACGTTTACAGATGGGGTCCGCTAGGTCACTTACACTGAGTTAGTTCATCCTTATCCCTTCATATACCATTGGCAAGGTGGAAGTTCTACGCAGACAGTCTCTTTCACTGTGAGACAGACACCCGAGAAAGTACTTTTCTTGATCACTACAATGTTAACCTCTTCAAGTCCCAAGTCACCTGCTATCTACCTTACACATCCTCATAACATGCACATCTTGCTCATTCCATGTACACTCAAAAGAACAAACACATTGATTAATATTCTAATATTAGACGCTCTTGGACTTGTATTAGAGAAACAATTGTAAAAGAAAAAATTATGAATTTTTACCAGAATTTAAAAATTTCATATTAGCCACTATACATGAAGAAATATTATGTAACGTAATTCCATTTGTATAATACTCATTTTTTTTTCTAAATAATAATAAGAAAAGTCAGAGGTGAGTATTATGCACAGCTACAAAAATCTTTAAAAATTTGTCGTAATATAAAATAAGAATTATCATAAATCTAAAGTAGAATAATATTCTATGTTTAAAACCATTTTTAAAAAATAAGACTAGGAAACACAGGCCGTAATGAAATAGGGAGATACAATTTATATATTTTGATTACCAAACAAGGGATGCGTATTATGCATGAGTAGAAGCATTTTTCCACACTTTCAAAACAATTTTAGGTGTGCGTATTATGGATACATGGGGAATTTCGATAATTAAAATTATAATTACAGAAAGTCTAATTACAGAGATTTACGCTTGAACGCAGTGTAATTGTACTAACAACATTATGAAGTTAATGTTAAACATATGCTTCTTGTTCTAAAACTAGCATTTGTTTTTATTGATCTTTTGAATATTCTTGTAATATTTCGTGCTATTGTTTACCTCTTGGTGGATATAGATACTATAATAGACAAATAACCTCTGGTCATTATCAGGACTCCGTTGAATGATTTATATAGGCTATCTGTTGATTAATGCGATATTTTATTCATGTGATATCAGTTATTGTTTGATCATACTGAATTAGTGCGTCACTACCAGACCAAGGATTGATCTTATGACCACTAGATGACAGAGACACACTCATAAAAAACACCCAAAGTTTGTTTTTGGTGCCTTTTATATTCATTGTGAAATGCTTTTTGTCATGTGGTTATGATGGCGGGTTTGTACTGCTTTTCCTAGTTTAATATCACAATGATCAACAAATATCCCATATTGACCAATCAATGGACACCTGATGATGACCAGAGGGTACTTGGACGAAACGTTGCATTTATAATAGCATATCTATCATCAAAGATGAGAACAATAGTTCAAAATGACAGAAGAATATTGGCAATTACTCAT